AACAGGTTTCTTTTGTCTGCCCAAACAATGAACGGTAGCGCAGTCCTCTCTAGCCTCTGAACTGACAAAGTTAACTTTACAGCATCGTAGGAAGAAAAGCAATGGTAGCTCACTGCCCAGCATAAACGCAAGGTGCTGTATAAGGGCTTGATTTATTTGTTTGATTTATTTGTTGTGTAATTAATTAAGTAATTATGCCATAGTAATAAGGGAACATTGAAAATGTATAACTCGTTGAGGGGGACGGAGGACCTAAAGGGTTGGGCAATTGAAAGGTTACATTTTTGATATTATTTCTTTTGTTATATTTTAGCTATTATTCTCACATGGAAGTAAACTTAATGGGATAAATTAGGGTTTATGTCGTCTTTTAAAAAAGACAAAAAGGGGAAACTGTTGGGATTTAAATATATAATCTGAATGCTTATCTGCTGATTATATTGTTTTATGTATAAGAGAGGGCCAGCTTTGAGTTTGAGTTAAAAGTACTGACAGGAAACTATGCTTTTGCCAAAATAGGACCTGCAGCCAGAAAGTGAAACTCAGCAGAGTCTTTGATCAAAACTTAAAGTGTGTGTGACGTCTAGAGGAAGTATATAAATGACTAAGCCGCCTGTTTTGCTTCAGACTTTGGCTGACGTGTCTGTGTGTCTGGTGAGTCTCCATATTCTGTAATATATAAAATTAAAGATCATTTTTAGAGTTTGACCACTTTGAGCCTTGTGTCTTTTTTGGCCGTAAAGAATACAAAGAACTGGGATTTAATACGCCTCTGCACAAAAAAGTAAGGAAAGCTCAATTCTCACTGTTTAACCTCTCTCTGTCACTAACCTCGCTGTGTATCAATTCCGCTCTCGCTCCTGTTTCAGGCGTTCTGTCCCGGACAGGACTCTCACTGTGAACTTTGATTATGTTATTGTAAATAAACTGATTGTAAACTCGATCGCTTCTGTGCATTGTGTCTGCTTTTGGATCAATTTCTGTGCCGTCTGTGACAAAGTTATCATCTTCCAGGATATAATAAATAGGTAGATAAGTACCTTAAAAAATGTAATCCATAGTGTAATTGGAGTTGTATATACATTGCTACACAACTAATAAATGGCTTAATATCAGTGTTATTCATTTTTAATTCAAAAATTCAGT